GGAAAGTTGCCGTGCATTTTGACCTCTAGTTTGAATGTTGGTTGTCGGTTTTAGTTCGAGAGATTACAAAAAGTGGCTTTATTTTGTCTAAACTATCCTCACAAAACTGTCGAAATGAAGAACGTGTAAAGGTGAACAACATCTTCGTATCTTGCTGCTAGTATCCAATAACGCGGCACATCGAGTTGTTTGATTTCTTCTGGAAACGCGATTTGTAATGGGCTGTCAATTTTTCCCGAGCGAAGCCCAGGCTGAGCGCTGCAGACGGCCTTTCATCAGCTGAATTTCAAGCTCCTTTGGCACACAAGGCGAAAGGATTGAATTTAGAACCCACCAACAACGCAGCACTGTTGCCAACAATGCAGTTGAAGGCAACGTAATTTGCTTCTTACTCGCGACTGTAGAGGCGACTTGTAAGCTGGTGTTTCTATCATTGACTCGGGTATATGGAAGAGAGGCTTGGATGTAGATGCTATTCAAATATGCAGCCGGCACTTAAATTATTCGCTCTGCGTCTCGGTCTATCATTGACGTTAAAACAACAAATAAATAAGAATATCGCTACTCTCAATAAACTAGCTAAAAGAAAAAGAAAAAAAAAGTTTCTTGTGTTGTTACGCATCGCCGGCAAAAGCATGAAGCATTGCAGTGGTTGTTTGATGGCGCGCTTTGTAAACGGCTGGCGACCCTCCCTTGTGCCACAAAGCTTGTCTCGCCGGCCCAGAAGTCGCGCTCCGTTGAGCAAAGTTTCGTGAATACCCTCTACGCGAAGTAGCATGGCCACCACACACGGCAATGTGTGAAGTATTCCAGCCGAAGAAGACGCTCTTGAAGCGTTTTCACTGTTTCGATTGGGATTGACCAGGAGTAGAGATGGACTTCGAGAATGCGGAATTCAGTAGAGCACACAGAAACCTTGGAATTGAACTAGGGGAAGCGGGCCAAATAGCCGCTGCGGCAGAACGGTGCCAAGAAAGCCCAGTATCTCCTGGATGAGTCCACGTTTTGCAGTGATTATTTGGAACGATGTCTTTAAGTGGAGGCGCTAGCACGCACCGTTCCCGGTATGGTCTATCGTGACCCACTCTGACACACTGTGGGGTCTCGAGCCAGCTGAACAGCGGGTGGTAACAAACCCGACCCATCAGACAACTTGGTCGTACGCTTTGAAAGCCCGGTGCCATTGCTTCGACGTAGTGTCTAGGTTTCTGAAGTTGAATGCAGATTACAACACCGCCGGCAAGTGTCGGGACCAATGTTGGCTGGGTTCCAAGAAACTTGCAAGGACAGTAACTCCTGCGGTGAGCAGATGGACGGAGCTGCGGAAAAAATAGAAAAAGGAAGGAACAATGGCAGAGCACCAATCGAATAGTGGAAGAGGAATTTCGTTCAAAAGAATTCAACGCAGACGTGCTACTCTATTCACGTTTCATTTTGCTTCACATGCCGAACAGGAAAGTTTGCACCTTTCATCTTGCCGGTTGAGGGTGGCAGGGGTTGGGTTGGGGGGCTGGGGAAAGTTACTAATTTCTCTCAAAAAAATTGAAAGCTAAGTAGGAAACGGAATACTCCAATTCGGGTACATGTTGCGAAGTCTGCGTTCTGCACCGACAAAGGCGAGCCAAGTAAATTCGACGACAGACAGGATACAAGTCAAGGAGATGGTGCCTTTTTCAATCCAATTTAGCTTTCCGTGTCTTGCGTTTTTTGCCATTGTTTTACTGGACCGGTCATAGTACTACTTCGGCGTATTGTAATATACTTTGATAAGCGGTGTCATATGAAGTTTTAATCTGTGACACTTGGAGCGCTAATTTGAGAAAGTTATAAGGGTGTAGCTGTCTCCTGGTAACAGCTAAAAACGCGGTCGTCTCTGGTTCCTGTCTAAGCCTAACTTTTTTCTTTGCTACTTGGATATCTATTTAAAGAAAGATAGCTACACATGGACGTTCCACAGAGAAAAACCGACCATAAAATACATATTTCATCCAATTTCTAGGTGTTAATTTCCTTTTTTGTTCTATATTATATGGCTGTTAGCACATTTTACTTGAATGTCGAAGACTGGGAAGTAAGTACGCCGTGAAATAAAACATACGTCCGCTGTCGTTGGCATATTATGTCCGGTGAAGCGGGGCTGCAGGTTCGGGATCTACGCCGCATCTCATACTACGATGTACAACACTAAAAACTACGCGCTGCCACATTCAATCACGAGCCAGCTAGAAATCTAGTGATAGAGTGCTCCGACACACGCACACGGACACGCGCTTTTAGGAGTCACCAAGTTTCTAGTTTGCTCGTGACTGGATGTGGTGACCTGTAGCTTTCGCTGCAGTCTGTCGTAGGGCGATATAAACTGTTTTTTTAGAAAGAGGATTGGGAGAGTTTGCTTTTCATTATTATAACTTACAGGGCGCACGAACAGTTAGTTGTTCTTGCGTGCTATAAATGATAAGTATAAACTATGGTATTTTCTAAAGGCACGCCGGTAGAGCTTTAGATTATTCTAAATTTGGCAAAGTGGGAAAGGAGCTTGTGGTCTCTACGCAACACCACATAAAATAACCAAAAACTGCCCGAACAGCCTCCTCAACATCTATAGAACGCCATCCCACTAGAATGATGCCAACTCAGGAGTTGTGCCTGAATTTGACACCGAGCACTTTTAAACGCATCGATTGGACAGGAGGCCCAGCCGTACGTCGGCTCAACAATCGTGTTCGGTTTGTGTCTGTGCCCGGCCTCACTGTGACGTCGTGAAACAGCACACGGGCTTTGACTATTCTAGCTGATGTTGCTTTGAATAGGCAGAACTCAGAGAGAAATATTTTAGAAGAATAATTTCTGAGTTACCACCCATCTGCCTTTACAAGGATGCTGCGAAGACGGGACCCACGTTGGGAGAGGAAAAAGTTTTAGGGAACTGTTTTTGCACATTCGATACTGTACGATGGGTCCTCCGGTATGCACTGTGCTTTTTGTGAGTCTTCTGCGGTACAAGACGCATATTTCGTACCGGAGGGCCCAATGTATTGTATCGAATATGCAAAAACGGTTTCCTAAAACCCTCTAATGACTCTGATAACGATACTCCATTACGATATGATGCATCCGTCAAGGCGACGGCGGAGTATTGTGTGATGTTTTTGGAGATACAAGAACGATGAACACAAATGTCCTAGTACGCATAGCTGCACGGCACGATGATTGCCCACGTGTGTCGTTTAACAACCGAGACTGTGGTGCAGAAAGCGAAAACAAAAAAAAAAACTTATAGTCTAAGGAATATACAAAGAAAAGAACGTCTGAAGTTTCTTTTTAATTTAGCTCGTATTAGTCATTTATTCCAAAAGTCAACATTCAGTTTTGATATATACCGCAACCGACTGGGTCGGCAAAGGACAGCCATTATAAATTCAATGATCAGGCCAAGCGAGGGCCCATCCGACCGGGCAATCCCCCTGAATTTTCGCTCTATGTTTTAATTTAGATTCCGCGTTCTTTACCCCCTTACCTCTGCAATCGAAAGCAGAAGTTCTTTAGAACTTTTATTTTTATTTTCAAAGGCCAAATTTACGGGTTTCCTTTTAAAACTGTCATCACACACGAAAACAAAAATTAAACGCATTCTTTGTGGAGTATTTAATAGATAGGAGATGTTGAGAGCAATTTCGAAGTGAAGGAAGTATCGAAGCAAAAATTTGCGCTTATTATTTGACCATCGAAAAACAAGTCTTTAGATACGTATTTTCACTCAGTTACGGCTTCGTCTATGTTTAGTACGCATATAACGGCTGACGATTAAATGCATGTTTCAAAGCCGTCGCACCAAACATAGAAGTGGTAATCAATATGTCTGCAGTTCAAGATACGTTATCATAACTATGGACATCGTTTTTTACAAACTTCTCGACATAAAGCAAACCGACAACAAAAACAAAGCTCAATTATGAAGGTTCCTTTGTCAAAGTGCGTAATTCATAAAAAGATGGTACTCCTGCCTATTTGATTACCTGATTTCTTACTTCCTTTTTTATCAAATACTTGATAAAATTTGGACTGTCTTCAAAATTCCAAACTTAAAATGGCTGCCGTAGAACGGCATTCACCTTGAGTATATATGGCAGTGCCGTACGTGAAATGCAGTGTACCGTTAACCGAACAAAAAATCAGTGCCAAACGTGAAAAAAACTAATTTATGAAGGACGCTTAAGCTTAGCCTTTAAGAGAGGAACGCGATAACTAGACTTATAAAACTCCGCTCGTTCCCAAGTCGTGCAAGCGTGTCTGCGTGTCCTAGTCAGTAGCGTGTCTGGCTCGCAACCGAAAAGTCGCAGGTTTGAAACTCTCCTCTGCGTGACGTCACGTTTCACGTTACAAGTTTCACGTGACGTCACACGTGAGCGTTGTGGGTTCGAAACTCCCGCACGAGGTCATGTGGCGTAAAGTCACACGAGGCTGTGACGTCACGCCCCCATCGACCAATCAGGATTTGCCCGTCCCGCCGACGCCGACTTTTGAGACACAAGCTCCTTAACGCTATCGCAATAAAACTTGCAACGAATTCATGTTTAGACAGCGCATGGTCGTCTCCCCTTAAGGTAAGGCGACACTGGATGACGCAGTAGATGAGACCTTTAGCCCTTGCAGTGCCACTACTAGCCTAGGGTCTTTAACGTGCACCACACGACCGCCCGCCGGTACGACGCTCATCCAGATCGAAAACGGACAGGGCCGGAGATTGAACGCAGGACGCCAGGGATCTGCAGCGCGAGCTTTCCCTTTAGGAGCCGGAGCTGCGGTGCGCTATGCCACTCGGCCACCGATCCGCCAATCAGCATGCCCATGAATTAAATTAAGAGGTCAAAAAGTGTCACTGATTTGCCTATTTATGCTTTGCGCCATCTTTTTCTTTACTCTTACTTGTATTAGCAACGAGCCTAGCTTCATGCCTTGACACTTAGATTTGGTTTTATGAGAAGTGAAAGGGTTATTACCACTGCATCGTCGGTGCTGCGTTTTGGCGAATATTGAGACACGGCTCTGGTTCCCGCATGCTTCGAAGTCGACCCGCCAAAACTCGCCTTGAAAACGAAAAAAAAAAAGATTAAAATTATGCTAATGTAAAAATGCAGTATTCGCTAGTAACAACAAACCTTTTAAACGTGCTGCTTTCGATTCACGACAGTTTAGAATAATGAAAATAATGTATATTTACGCGTGCAGTTCATTTGATAGAGACGCGGGTCCGCCATAGCCAGACAAAAGGCTTATTGGACAGGACCCTACAGGTCCTGATTAAAAAGCGTCCCCACACACGTGAAGTTCCAAACCCCAAACGTACATCACATTAGCTGTGAAGCAACCGATGATGGTCACACAAACACATGCACAGCACAGTCACGAAGTTGCACTAATACATCGGAGCACTTGCTTATATTTTTTTTAGCGTGTACACAGTGTAAGCATCATCCGGTAAGCTATTAAACGTAGAGGGTACATAACAATTCCGTATTTTTTTTTTCTTACATTGTGTTACAACAAAAGGCATTTCATAGCGCTCAATGTGCCGAAGCAATCTAGACACGACGTGGGGTACTTCAAAATTATTACACCAGGAGTGTTTCAGTACAATGGTCTGAAGTAATAAAGAGCTGAGCAATAGCAAACCCCAGGCTGCTATCATCTGTTGTTCAGTTTGCGACATTGAGCCCATGGACAATGCTCCAAAGCTCTGGGTGTTTTCTTCTCGGAACATCTCACGTGGGACCAACACATAAACCACGTAGGCATGAAATTAAACAAACTTAATGGCTTGATGAATAAACATAGACATAGTTTGCCACAAAACACAAAAAAAAAAACTTCTATATAATTCTTTGTTTCTGCCGACTCTCACTTACTGTCATGTCATATGGGGAACAACTACAAATCAAAACATGTTAAAGTTACTCGTTGCACAAAAACGGGCTCTACGTATTATAACTAACGTTCCATGGTTTACATCAGCGCGTAAATATTTTAATGAATTAAATATTATAAAAGTGTTAAAAATGCATGATTTCAGACTAGTTTATTTTTACAAAATTGCAGTAACAATAAACAACGCACCACTGCTACAATTATGTAGTCTAATCCAACACATACCATCGTATAAAACAAGACAGCCCGAAATATGGAAAATACCAACCGTCAGAAACTCGTATGGAAATCAATTTATAATTCATACCTTGCCTGTTCTCCTTAACAACCTCGCAAAACAGAACATTACACGCGAAACATCAACAAAACAGTCCCTGAAATCCAATTTTATATTTTACTGATGCGACGTTTTCGAATTTTTCTTTATGCTTATATGGTTTCTCGCTGCAGTATTTTACTTATGTGACCTTGTTGTATGGTATGTACGTCTGTATTTGTTTTTGTGCATCATGATGTCTGCAATTTCATCACCTTATGTTTTACTTGACTAGGTATGTAGGCATGTATGCGATGTGTGTATGTGTGTATGTATGGCGTGTTGCATGTATAGTGTGTTATTTATGCAGACTCACCAGTTATATTTGCGTTATCATTACTTGATTATTACTTGACCCGGTATATATTTTTGTGCGTTTATGTCTGTATTATTGTCAGTTCACCTCTTCGTCGGTTAGACTTTAAATGTTCTCCTATGCTCTGAGTGATCATTTAGATTGAATTTTATTGTGTACTCTATGACAAGTATTGGGGGGCAGGGGCCTGTCAAGCTGCAGCTGCAGCTTTTTTCCCTGCTCTCCACACTCCTCTGGGGTGAAAATAAACGATTTATTATTATTATTATTATTATATAAACATTTCTTTCAAGATTGAGTCACTTTTTGTGACCCGATCGTCCGGTGCTGTGCCCGAAAATAGTTATTCCGTCATGCAAAATACTGTATGCTAAAGCGAGAGCTATTGTCTTTTTCGTTGAATTAGGTATTAAAGACCTGGTATTGTACAGTAAACAAGATACGTTTCTCAGTCGTTTACGACGTTTTGACAGTGGGAATTCAACGACCAATCGCTGTTAAATTGAATGGCTAAATATTTTATATGATCTACATAACTTATAGGAGAACAGTTACAAGATATAAAAAGAGAAGTACTGCACACAGAAAGGATGTTCGGACGTTAACATTTTAAGAGGATTACGAAAACAGACTCCTATAAAGTTTGACAGGACCGACCCGTGTAGCAGCTTAATCACAACTGAGGGTTTATTGTCAGCAAGGAAGGCTTGAATAAAAGAATAAGAAAACAGAAATGGAAAAAAACACCGACACGTGCGAGCGGTGCTGACAATGCTCGTGCCATTACGTCGCTGTTAGCAATTACTCTGTTGCCGCATCGTTACTTCCCAACACTCCTTTCCCCTCATTAAAAAGTGGAAGCCGTTTACAACTCCCTGTAACACCGAATTAGAGCGCAGCTCTTGAGGAGGAGGAGGAGGGAAGGGTACGGGGGGGGGGGGGCGAAGTGACCGGGGGGGGGTCACGTGACGATGCCGATGATGTCATCAGTGACGTCACTGATGGCGTCATCAGTGACAATGACGATGCTGACTCCGATGACGTCATCAGCGATGATGACGATACGGATGTCGGTGACGTCATCAGTGACGTCACTGATGACGTCATCCGTGATGATGACGATGACGATGCGGATGCCGGTGACGTCATCAGTGGCGTCACTGATGACGTCATCAGTGATGACGATGCGGATGCCGGTGACGTCATCAGTGGCGTCACTGATGACGTCATCAGTGATGACGATGCGGATGCCGGTGAGGTCATCGGTGACGTCACTGATGACGTCATTAGTGATGATGACAATGACGATGCGGATGCCGGTGACGTCATCAGTGACGATGACGTCATCGGGGAGGTCACGTGACCTCGGCGGGGGGTCACGTGACCTCGGGGGATGTCACGTGACCTCGGGGGATGTCACGTGACTTCGGGGGGGGTCACGTGACTTCGGGGAGTCACGTGACTTCGGGGGTCACGTGACTTCGGGGGGGGGTCACGTGACCTTGGGATGACCTTGGGGGTCGCGTGACCTTGGGGTGACCTTGGTTGCGCCGACGGCGACGCCGACGCCGCTCAAGCCGGGAACGGGCCCCTAAGAGCTGCGCTCTAAAATGACGAACAGGTGGACGCCGATTTCTACGTGATCTTCTCGCAGGTCTGAGTGGATCTCCGCTTTCTTGCTCAGAGGTGACCACCGGTTGTGGTGGCTGGGGTGTCGGCAACGCAGCAGCAGCATCTGTTGTCACGTCCACCTGGGATGTCCGTGTTCGGTCTTCTGAGTTGGTGTCTCGGTAACGAACTTGGTCTGCGTGGCGGCATCGCTGACCTTCTGGCGAACTGATTTGCACCATTCGATAACCACTGGTTGCTTCTACCGTACCGGGAAGCCACCTGTCCTTTAAGCTGTGGTTCTTGAACCACAGTGTCTGTCCAGGAATAAAGGGGTTCTTTGTAACATCCTGAGTGTCTGGCAACCTCACGGGTAGTAGAGTATCAATACGTGAACGAATGGTGTAGCCCATTAATCTTTGTGATGTTGTCTTCCCGTCTTTTCCTGGCATTCTCTGGTACCTCTGTAAGAAACGAGCTAATCTTCTATGCATGTTGCCCTCTTTCAACTTCTGGAGACCCTCTTTGAAGGTTCTCACGGCTCTCTCAGCCAAACCCTTTAACTGGAAAAAATAAGAGGCCGTGCGCATATGCAGGACGTGTTTGCGCGAACAAAAGTCCTGAAACTCAGCACTAACAAACTGAGGACCATTATCCGAAACTACGATCCGGGGCAGTCCGAAACGGGCAAATATCACGCGCAAGGTCTGTATGGTATACTCCTCTGTGGCCGTCTTTAATGGCGCCACCTTTATCCACTTGCTGCGCGAATCTAGGACTATGAGCAACATGTAACCGTCTACTGGGCCTGCAAATTTGATGTAAACTCGAGGCCATTTTTTTTCTCTCACCGAGGCTTCGGTGTCTGAGAAGGTGATAGCGACGCTACCTTAGCGCATTTGACACACCTCCGCGTCACTTGTTCAGTGTCTTCGTCTAGGCCCGGATACCAGAGCAAGGTTCTCGCGACTGCTTTCATTCCCGATGCGCCAACAGGGGACTTATGTAGAAGCTTCAACAATCACGTTCGCGTTCAGCGATTACCACCCTCGGCCCCCAGTAAACTAACCCGTGGGCCACCGTCAAGTCGTCTCTTCGATTGTAAACGGCCTTAGCTGGTTGCTGACACTGTTCTTGATCGTTGGCCAGCCCTTCAGGATAAAACTCGGCACCTGATGAAGAACGGGGTCTACGGTAGTCAATCGCCGGTGTTCTGCGGGAGGAATGAACGAGTCATCCAAGGCCTCCGTGACAACAACATACTCCTGCAAGTCTTCAGATGACGCTTCTGTTGCTGGTTGTTGTAATCTACTGAGGGCATCTGCATTTTGGGTCAGCTCTCCATTTCCCGTACTCTATCTGATACGAGTAGGCACTTAACAGCAAAGCCCAAGGTTGTATTCTTGCGGCCGCTGTGTGAAAAACAGCTTGATTTTGGTGAAAACTGCTCATCAGAGGTTTGGGGTCCGTCACCAAAGTAAATGCACGGCCCCACAATTATTCTTTGAACCTTGTGACCCCGAATACGAGAGCCAACACCTCTTTTACCAGGTGCGCGTAATTCCGCTCTGCCTTCGACAAGGTACGTGAGCGAAACTCAACCGGTTAATAGTCGTTACCATCCTTGACTAATAGCACCGCGCCGATGCCATATGGGAACGCGTCACATTCTAACCGAGGGGGCTTCGTCGGGCCGAAATGTGCTAGAATCTGCGACTGTTTCAACCTGAGCTTACTTTGCTCAAAAGCTCCTTTTGCGTCTTTCGACCACTGTCATTTATGTCCTTCGTTAAGCAGTTCGTACAGAGGGGAGAGCAGGGTTGCCAAGTTGGTTAGGAACTTGCTCTAGTACGTAATCAAGCTGAGGTAGGAGCGAAGTTCTGACACATCCGTTGGTTGCGGTGCCTTCAGGATTGCGTCTAAGTTGTCGTCTTTCGGGTGGAGGCCACGTGCGTCTATTCTATGGCCGAGGTAGATGACTTCCGATTGACGAAACTTGCACTCCACTTTGTTCAGCTTGACGCCATTCTCCCGCAATCGCTGAAGGACCAATTGAAGCGTGGACAAAACCTTCTCTGCAACCTGAATGTCGTCGGGTAGACTTGTACCCCCGGTAGATCCTTCAATAGGAACTATCTCCCGCTGGAAAATAGCCGGTGCCGATACAATCCCAAAGGGCAGCCTATTGGAAGATGACAACTGAAGGTCTATTGCCAGAAAGGAAGGCTAGAATAAAAGAAGAAGAAAACAGTAATGAAAATAAACACCGACACGTGGGAGCAGTGCTGAAGATGCTCATGCCATCACGTCGCTGTCAGCAATTACTCTGTTACCGCGTCGTCACTTTCTAACACCGACTAGCTGAGTTTTCGATGTATTTATCATAAGACAATTTGTCTTAAAACAGTCGTGAAGTTAGCAGGTATCCTCTTGGGGTACACGATTGCTGCAGGATAATCAAGATGTTTCGAAAGTAACACTGTGTCATCCGCGTATTGGAACATTTTAGAAGTTGAAAATCAGATGGACATATCGCTTGTAAAAATGTCAAGAGATGAAAAAACAGAACCTTGGAGAACCTTAGCTTTTAAGGTAACTTGGGAGCTTCGACTTTACCTTTAGAGACTAGCTGTGTCCTGCCAGTTAAAAAGTTCCGGTGAAGAAAAAGGAATGGGCCACGGAATCCAATGTGTTACAATACCGTCAGTAAAATATTGTGGCTCACTGTATCGAATGCCTTAGCCACATCAATAAAAAGGGTGCAAGCAACCTGATGCCTCTCGAAGGCTAGATGGAATTCGTCTGCTAAATCTTCCAGGAAAGGCTGGGTCCCACGAACGTTAAAAAACCTATATTCATTGGTGACAGAATAGGAAAGCTTTTAAGAAAGACTGTCATAGTTTAGAAAATACGTTATTTTAAGATTTTGACAATACAAGGCAAAATGGAAATTGGTCGATAATTGTCAAGTTTTAGAGCGCAGCTCTTAGACGCCCGTTTCCGGCTTCAGCTGTGTCGCCGTCGCCGTCGGCGTAACCGCGCGTTGCATTATGGCAAAAGTCCCATAATGCAACGTGCGGGTCTTACTCGTGACCCGCGCGTCGCATTGAGAGACGTTTCCCCATGATGAAGTCACAGGTGACGTCATGAGGGTCCCGCGCGTTGCATTTTAGGAAACGTCCAGTGATGCAACGCACGGGTCTCACTCGTCACCCGCGCGTTGCATCATGGGACATTTCCCATAATGACGTCACACGTCGATGAAGGTCACGACCTTCATTTCACAAGGCTTTCACGAGTGACGTCACAAGGGTCACGAGTAACGACACGAGGAGGGAGGCAGGGAGGGGAAGGACGAGGGGAGGAGAATGAAAGGAGGATGGAGAAAGAGTATAGAGGGGGAGAGGAAGGAGGAGGAGGAGGGCAGGGAAGAGGGTACAGAGGAGGAGGAGGGGCACACCTTCCTCCCTGTAACCACACTTTCTCGTCCTTAAGAGCTGCGCTCTGATTCGGCACTACAGGGAGTTGTAAACGTCTCATTTTTTCATACCCCCCCCCCCTCACACACACACACCGTTAAGTAGGGCTCCATTATTGCACTCTTGTAATCAACCGGGATAAATGAAGCCATTTAACATGAGAAGCAAAATGTTTTTAGGGATCATAATTTCAGCGCGGATCATTTGCGCTTATGACATCGATACCAGGCGTATTCTTATTTTCGGATCTAAAAAGCGAAGTTCGTAGATCAAGTTCGGTCATTTGGGGAAGGAAAGCAGAGGAAACGTTTGAATCTGGAGATTCGGCTGTGAACATAGTATCGTCACAAGCTACTCAGAACAATCCAGCGAAGAACTTATTGAAATCCTTTACTATTTTTGTCGTATTGTTTCCAAACATTTTCTCAAAGAAGGCATCAATCTGTCTCTTTTTAGTCGAGCCTCGAAATTTCCATAGCAACCGGAGACATGGAACGATAAAAAGAACGGACAAAACAACAAGCTGTCCGGTTTTCTATCGTTCCGTATCTCCGGTGACTACGGAAGTTGTTCACCAGCTCGCCTGTATTTTTACCCTTTCCTCGTAATTCATTTATTGAACTCAAGGTCACTGGAATACGCGATCTTGCTTTAAAAATTTATCTCGAAAGTAATATAATTTTGCTGATAGAATAAGCACGGTTACAGAATTTTGCATGCCGCGGAATTTCATTTTTTTTTTTTTCGAGTTTGTATTGGTTGGAGAACGCCGATACCTAGCCCAAAGAACAGCTTTTGACCGGATGGCTGCCAAATTCCACCTGTTAGCCGTTCCTGTTCGTTTCGACGACGCATCATAGTGATAAGCTTTTAGATTGGGCCTTGAAGCTGCCAAATTAATCTCTAAATATACAGTAGACTATATCAAAGTTTTGAATAAGGAGTAAACTATTGCAATCATTGCTTTGCACCAACTTATCAAATCTTATCTTATCAGGTATTTCCACTGTTTTTGTAATTGCTGTTGTTGATTTAATCGCGAGTTTGGATGGAAGTTGACAAGCCCCAATGCAATGGCCGGCTGATTTTTGCTCTATTACGGCCGATTTTGCAACAACATTTGGAGTGCGTATGCTTATATGATTAAGACACGAGGCCACAACCTGATCAGTCAAAAGTTCTTCTCGAGTTGGGGCTAAAATCAGTTCTTCCAGACGGAAATACGCTAAAAGATTGAGATAGTCACAAACAGTAGACTTGACGCGTTAAAACGTATCAATGTTGAAATCACCTACTAAACAGATGTCGACAGAGTGAAAATTACCAAGTGCATCCCCGAGTTCATCTAAAAATCTTAAAAGATTAACTGAAGGTCTGTAGAAAGCTATTAAGATTGAGGACCACTAAGAACTCCATATCCCCATAGATAGACTCGCAATGGCAGAACTCTACATCGTTTTTTCAGTACACAACAAGTCTAACAAATATCGCAATTCCCCCTCCTGGACAAACCAGTCGTGCAATAAAAAAATAAAATTTATATCCCGGTGTCCGGAATTCACCAGAAAAAAATCGCCTTTAACCTTGATCTCTTTCAGAACAAAAACGTCAAATAGCGGTGACATATTATTGACAGTTATTTCAAACTGGTCCATATATTCACGAATACTCCTAATATTTACATGTTAAAAGCCAAGAGCCCTATCACTGACTGCTTCCGAGAAATGTTGAAACGAAAAAAAAAAAAATCTAAACATCGACAAGTGTATTCGATTATTTGACGTGGTTTTAATACAATGTTATTCAAAAGCCGTTTAACAACGAAGAGAGTTAAACAACCAATTCCAGGTCGGCCAACCGGTGGACGCGTACCACAGACGAGGTTCCTGTCTTTTTTCCGAATAGTGTCTCTTTTTTTCATCCAAGTGAATCGGTGTTGCTTGCTCCCTACTTTCTCGCGTACCATCCAAAAGTGTTGCCCTTTTTTTGCACAGACTGGTCGTAAGTGCACATGCACTTACGACCAGTCTGCTAAGTTGTAGCGAGGAGGCAATTGGGCTGAAAGGCGTTGACGCTTGCGGAGGCTTTAATCACCTCCTTGCCGTTCGTATGTGAACGGCAAGGAGGAGGGAGTTTATGGGGCGCTTTTTGCAATATATTGCAAAAAGCGCCTCATAAACTACGTGACCCCAAGCGAGCAGTTGGAAGCACTCTGAAATATAGGCAGACTTGTGAAGAGTCGCTAAAACTGCTTAAACAGACTAAAATCTTTCAAGAACAGGCGATTCTTCATGTTCCGCGTTGATAAAGTAAATATAGGTATCACTTAGTGTGCTCCGAACTCAGAGTTTCTTATAAGCCTGAATAAATTTTCTAAACGACCGAGTTCTTGATTTTGAAAATCAGCATTAAAACTTGAGGTGACTTTTCGCAGTCAAGCTCCTAGCCTCATATAAATATTTCAGTCAGAATTACTACATTTGAGTTTCACTATAAGCATCGTTAAAAAATCTATGTCAGAACAAAGTAAATAAATTTTCGTGCATCCACAATCGCATCATCCACATTGTGCTCAAGTTCGTAACATATTAATCTTTATGTTTTCCACGGTGGTGTTTCAGATAACTTCCAGATCTAGAGCAGAAATATGAACGTAGTAAGTTACCTTATTCTCGGTCTTCGTTTCAGCCACGGCTTCCACTTCATCATCTCTGATGATCTCGAAAGAGTGATCCTTCGATGAATTGTATCCCAAGCCAGAAAATAAGAAAAATCAATAAAACAAAAACATGTATCAAGAGGCAGCCATCGTTGAATAGCGTTTAGACATCAAATGGTGTAGTTTCGTAGTACTATCGGGGAACAATGAAATGCGAATAGAGTAGCGCGTGGCTCGCGGTAAAGGCTGCGCCGCCTGGAAGTGAGCCTAGGGGCGAGGGTGCGTAGCCTACTCCGATGTGTTTACGCCCTTCGCTCGGCGCTCCCCAATCTTCGGCATTGAGCCTCTTTGTGCGCTTTAAGCCATCACCGCTACTACTAGCGGCGACCTTCTTCACGCCGCACGCGCCGAGCGAGCCAAGGTAGCGGTGATAGCTTTCAGCGCACTGAGGTGCAATGCAGAAGCTTGGGGAGCGCCGAGCGAAGGTTGCAAACACATCGGAGTAGACCACGCACCCTCGCCCCTAGGCTCACTTCCGGGCGGCGCAGCCTTTACCGCGAGCCACGCGCTACTCTATTCGCACTTCTTTTTCCCCCGATAGTACATTATGTACTCTGGATAATTCCAACTAGCATCCCCCTACTTTATTTGCGAATGACGATCACTACATTTTACTTCGATTTTTCACGTTTAAGAAAAAAAAAATTATCTATATTTTTTTGCTTTGTTGAACCTTTCTGCAGCCGTCTTGCCCAGTTTGAATCCAAAATGAATGCCATAAATATATATTACACACACAAAACCAAAGATAAAAGGCACAACATGAACAGTATAGATGGCGCCATAGATGCTTCAAATCGAGGAACAACTACAAAATTTGTGTGGGTTTCACAATTGTACAATTGAGACGTCTTCAAACAGCTGTTGAAATTTGTATATTACCTGTAATTTTTTCTTAATGAAGATTTAGGAAAATTACAATTCGTTTTGCACTTGCAACTTCAGAAGGTTCATGGTAGCTACAAGGTTCTTTTACATTCAGATTCATTTTTCTATTGTCTCATTTCGAGGTTTTCATCTAAACTTTACGTGCGTTCGAGCGCTATTCGTGTGAACAGAATACTGCGTCGATTAATGTAATAATCGAAAAATGCATGGGCTCTATTGAACTCATCAAGCATATGCGGTTATATATTGATACCTCTACGCGTGTGGGTCTAGAATACGAGATATTTTTATAACAGTATGTTTAATCTAAATTTGTTATCTTTCGTCATTGTAATTCTGATGGACCCCCTGAAAGGGCCATTAGAAGTTTAACCAGCTGAGAGGCCCATTAGAATTTTAACCAGACAACCAGTACGCGCTTTCATTTTCAAGAAGTACACTGAACACTTTAAATCAGTGCTTTCCAAATTCTTCCACCCTGCTACCCTGCACAAAAAAAAAAAAGAAGAAAGAAAGCAAGAAAAAACTATTTTTGCAAACTCTTGAATTTAAACAAGCTAATATGCTTTCAATATTGCAAATGCAACATGTCCTATAAATTAAATATTTAAAAGGTTAATCAGCAGATCTTAGTTAATTACCACACTGATCATGACGGTAATGTTCGAATCTAATGCTGCAAGCCTGATAAGTGCATGGTGAAGCTGGCACCCGTGGAAACTTTATCCCTTTAAAAATCTGTTCAAATTAAAAATCAAACACCTTGATTATGCTAAGATTAGCACTGAGAGACATTGAGTGTCTATTCAGGCAGTTTGTTTCTGTTATATGATGAAGTTATATTTTCTTTGTGTGAAGCATGGTGAGTACTTGTGGTTTGAAGGGTATCAATTTTTGCACAGCTCTCGTCCGGAAGAACCTCCAGCTGTGTTTAAATAAAAGAGTGATGTAGACTTCAGCCAGGCTGCGACACGTTTTTTTATTCATAGGTCTGTGTTTATTAGCGAATAATTATATTTTAGTAAGTTTCGATATTACAGCGATTCAATTCAGATATCATTGTTCGAACAATTGAAGAGTCAGTTTGCACTTCTCGTAGAACCTAAACGTTGACAGTTTCATTAACCGTCTTCAACACCACTATATTTCTTTTCACCTTCCCTTCAATCCAGACGCAGCCGTCGCTACAAGTTAATAGGACCAACCCGACAGTGTTCAAAGCGCACCATCATGGTGTTCTATCATTGCTGAACCAATCATATACAATAACAAAAAACAGTCACTTGCGCTTAGACTCTGCTTGATTAGTCCCATTTCCTATTAGCGTCGGCTGTCTCTGGACTTAAGCTCAATCTAAGTATAAAACACAATCAACCAAGACAATACAAAATACCTTATCAGAGTGAAGAAGTTGCTTGGGTGTCCCCGAGTTCTTGGCTCCAATATCTGAAGTCAAATTTTTCCGCCCCTTCTAGAAAATGTATAAATGTAAAAACGCCTCTATATCAGCGCAGGTACCAATATAAGACGTATAGACGCTCATGCAGTGCAGACACAAAATAAGCATCTTCATAACAAGGAGCTTACCTAGTAAACAAGTTTCTGTCGCAAGTCCACGAGCGTTTTCATACGAATAACAAACTTGAAAGCACAAATACTTAATTAACTAAATAATGTAAACCAACTTTCCAGACCTGCCAGATCTCAAAGACATGTCTTATAGAGCATGTCTTGCTTTACAGATATGTTTTATAAAAAAAACTGTAAAGGCTACACCAGAGCAGTGTGAGCAGGTTCCGCCTACGACCACGGGGATATTTCGGAAGTCAATCGTCACGAAAAGTCGAATACACAAAAATGTGCTATAAACATTTAAGTTAGTGAAAATATACATGAGATTTCAATTAGAAACTTGCTGAGCGTGCTCAGAAACCTCTAAATCCGTTAATTTTATACGAACTAGAAGCACATTGGAAGCGTAGGGGTGGGTTAAAGCGTCCACGCGTGCAACACGCGCAAAGCTCGCGTTGCGATAACGCGGTCGATAATCTTGTAATCTTTGCTTTCGTAGCGCTAGCCTTGCGCCTGTTGCGCGACTGGTACCTATAGCACATTTCCACGCCTCCTACGCTCGGCATGTTTATAATAGAAATCAAATGTTTATTCTTACAAACTAAAGATTTCCAACACGTTTTAGTTCATTATTCGGCTTACCGTCGCCATTAGCCTGTGTTTCTATCCCTGGCTGTGTAATTCAGCTGCCCAGACCGCATTAGTGTATGTTTCACTTTTTTTTGTTTGTTTTATTAAGCTTGTTCGAAATCAAATCAAACACCCTGTATAAAAACTATTAAAAACAAAAAATAAATTTATGTTACGACATTAATTACAACCTGAAGCTAAAAATATCCAATCAAAGAGTGATGCTCGTGTTCACTATATGTTAGATTGCTTACCCTTCCTGGTCTGCTAACACTTGGAGTAGGCTCCCGTTTGGTGTTTACAGGGTTTTCCTGACATCCGTCTTCGTGAGCCTGAAATTGAAGAAGACAAAATTTGCGCACTAATGCTCATTCAAACAGGTTCACTGCCACTAGGTGATAGCTGCAAATGCCTGGGGAGACTACGCAACGGACCTACGAAATGGAAAAAAAAAAGGCTATCAGCTTAGGTAACAACAGACAAGATGGAAGAGAGAACAGACCGAGCGCATCTTTTCTCTCTAGTTTGTTTCTTCTACTACTCTGTTGTTTTTTGTCATTTTCTTTTTGTGGCTCGGTAATTATATTTAGCTTTGTCACACTGACTGGCCAAAACGCAGTCTCATACGACAAATCCATTACTGAAAGCACTTGGCTATGGAGACATAACTTTAAAATTTAACCTTCTTCATTGAAATAAAAACTGGTACTGAAACCAGTGGTCATAATACCTAAACATTATTTTTCCTATTAGATACCTAGTAATTTTTTAAATCAGGACAAGTTATTGTTTTTTGCACGAGTTATTTTTAATGAAACAGGCTTTCCTACATATTACAAATCCTAAAGCACTTTCCAGATATAGACTGCGCTTATGGGACGCTGTCGTGCCCCATAGGCTCATTCTAAATGGAGTGGTTCTACGTGACTCTATAGGGTATACTTTCTCAAAATGCGACATAGACGGAAAGCCTGTTTTTTTTTTTTCGTGAACACAAACGTACAAAAAAGAAATGTAAGCTGATAACTTGCAGAGACAAAATTCGTTCCTACCTTCCACTCCTCTTTGACAGGTAATGAGCGATGACTGCGTTCTTCTTCCCTTTTCACACACACTTGTAAGTGTTTTTCATAGTTACACTTCTTCACGGGTCTCTCACAGAACTGGCAAGATTTTTTTTCTTCGTCGGTGATACTTTTTGTCATGGAAGGGTCATGGCCCTGCAAAAGAATCATGAAATGAATCTACACACTGGTATCGGGATATAACAATCATATGCGTGGCACAAGTCACCTGCTGCTTGCGCATGAGTTGCGATGATGTCAGAACAACGCCGAGCTTGAAAGAATAGGGGGTAGACCTCAACGCTAGATGCCTAGAGGTCTGCCCAATATTTTCTTTTCTATCAGCCAATCAGAGCTCGGCGTTGTTCTGACGTCATCGCAACCCCTGCGCAAGAGGCAGACGAATTTGAGCTACGCATAATCGTACAACCTGCTTTGTAATCCGATGTAAAATCCGCACGTTCTGCGCACTAAAAATGCCAAGTAATCTGACAAAACGTTGGCCCGCACACCATTTTAAATTTTAATTCCTGTTCTCCACTCATCGTAGGTGCTGTGGGTAGTTGAATCTTTGAAGTGTTGTGATATTGTAGCTGTTGGCTCACTCCAATGTTATTCTAAAAGTATGTTGCCTTCTTTTTTTGGACGTGAAACGTTTTTTTGTTTTACCAGATTGAGCGAAGCCAAAAACATTAACCACGAAACTCGACGCAGATCGGCTGGTAGAACGGTCACGTGATCTATGCTTATTGGCTGACCCCGGCGACCAAGAAGGGTTCTGGAAAACCCCCACCCAGGCTTTAAAATTCGACTAGTGCCAGTATTTTTATTGCAGGAACTGCTATCAAGTTTATTTGCGACGTGTTAAGTTACCTTATGAAGAGCGCAGCGAGCGTAGGCGCCGCGAGCTTAATAATGTTCTGGAACGATACCGGAAGGTTTCAAATGCAATACGGTTGCCCAGCAGTTCGCCACAAATTGTTGTTAAGCTGCTGTTAATCCTTCCCCCCTCCTTCTCACCCCAACCAAAAAAAAGTTCTGAGGGGCAAATTTGTTCAAATGGGGAGTGCAATTCTTTTTTTTAAAAAACGCCGAGAAACCGTGTGAAGCATTGTCGAGTTTATTGTTAGTTTTAACACTGCGCTACACAAAAAAAGCAGTGTTGTGGGCACATAAGGCACGTTAAACGGGTCCACTCCCCCTCCCCACCCACCGCCCCCCCCCCCCCAAAAAAAAAAGAAAACAAAAAAGAAAATCAATTTTAAGAAAAAAAAAGAAAAAAAAAAAAAACGACTTGTCACAGAACGCGGAATTTCCACCCAAACGTATACCTCTAGCGTTTCGAAGCAGATGCCAAAGTTTCTGAACCAACCGTCATTTTGCTAAAAGGTTGTGTTTCTTGAACATTTCAATGGGAAAATGGGGTCCGTTCTTGGTAACTGAAGTTAGTTATTCAGCTTCATATATTCAAGGGCTCGACTAACCGCCATTTTCTCATTGAGAATGTTTTGAAAATCCCTTATTACTTTTGATGAAGATAACGCTTAGTTCTGAAACTTCGGCCTCTCGTTTAGACCGCGAACGCTGCATTTTGGTGGAGAAACAGCGCTCGGCAATGTGTCGTTTATCTTTTGCTCCAGAAGAAACCTGCGTATTTTTAAGAGCGCAGCTCTTAGGCGCCCATTTCCGGGTTTCGCGGCGACGACGTCGGCGTAACTGCGATCAATTTAGGGGAAAAATTTACGTCAGGTGACCTCAATACCAATTCAATTCCCCGCTAAATTTAGCGGACAAGTTCAGTTCCTCCGTTCGATTTAGCGGGAAAATTCAGTTTCTCCGCTAAATTTAGCGGGGAAGTCGACGCCACGTGACTTCAACACCACTTTGATTTCCCGCCAAATTTAGCGGAGAATTGAATTGGTGTTGGGGGCACGTGACGTCAATTTTCCTGCTAAATCTAGCAGAGAAATTGAATTTGTTCATAGGTGGCGTGACACCTCGTCATATGTCATTTTCCCCACTAAATTTAGCGAGGAAACTGAATTGGTGTTGAGGTCACGTGGCATAAATTTTTCAGCTAAATTTAGAGGGAAACTGTGGGAGGTGGGAGGGTGGGGAGAAGGAGGAGGGTAGGGTACGGAAGGGTAGGATGGGAGGGTGCTCAGGAGAAGGAGGGTAGGGTACGGAAGGGTAGGATGGGAGGGTGCTCAGGAGAAGGAGGGTAGGGTACGGAAGGGTAGGATGGGAGGGTGCTCAGGAGAAGGAGGGTAGGGTACGGAAGGGTAGGATGGGAGGGTGCTCAGGAGAAGGAGGGTAGGGTGCGGAGGAAGAGGAAAGGAGGGGAGGAGGAGAAGGAGAGAGTACGGAGGAGGAATGGCATACACTCCCCTCCGTACCCTCCCCTCCTCCTTTTCCTTCTCAAGAGCTGTGCTCTAATTTCGAATTAGAAATTTGTAAACGTCTTTCATTTTTACGTACTTTCATTGAGGCCACTTCGGGTCCAGTCAGCGATGATGGCGCTGAAGCACTTGACGAAACAAAGGGAAACGATTTCTTCTCTATCGCCCCTCGTTTTGAAGGTTCAGGAGGACGTTGGCATTCATTTTGGTGATTCTATGAAGTACACAAGAAATAGTATTTCGCTAATTGCCCTAAAATATAATTTTCAAAAAGTGAAAAGGAGACATATTTGGAACACTTTTAATGAATAAACTTGTTCCTGAAAAAATAAAAGTAAAAACAAAAATTGCGGCAGTACATATGCAACGTATGAAAGATTTATCATACACAGAGCACGTTTTGGGGTTTGGAAATATCGATGCAATCGTTTATTTACGCACACTCGCACCTCGACTTCCTGCAGGACCGCCATTGCTTGTCGCTATGGTCACGTGATCGACTACACAAGATATTGAGAGAGGCGCCGCCCGCGAAACACCGCCTTGATGGTTGTGTTTACATAATCTAACGGCCCGTTCAAACACTTGTGTGTGCTTAAGACTGAGTTCTTGTGATCTCTCACGAACGTACTTAAAAATATATTTATCAAGAGATTAAAGACGTCAAGAAACATCTGAATAGCAGTAGACTTTAATGCACAGACGTTTCGGAAAGAGTTTTTCCTTTCTCAGTGTGTACAACCAACAGTTTCCAAACGTTTTTTCTTCGGGGCATGAAAGGAAAAAGAAATAAATAGAAAAGAGAAGGAGTGGAAAAAGAAACGAAAAAACAGCAAGTGATATTGAGTAGGAACACGTATTCCGGATAAAACGAAGAGTAAAAATTTGTGACTAAAAGAACAAAGACCGCTAACAAAGAAAACAATAAGTAATAAAATGTTTCAGCTTTTTATTTATAATTATATAAACATAAAAAGGGAAACAAAAATCGTGTTTGACTCATTCGCAGGGCACGCACGGAACGGATGGGATTGCTGCATCATTGCTCGGCTGAGACTCGTCTCCAATCAAGGGCAAACATGTATATCTGCCTAACGCTGACTTAGAACTCGGCTCGAATCCGTGCACCGGGCTCGCCTCCTTATCTGACGTCGAAAATTTCATCTAGAAGGTGCTGCCGAATAAGTGTCGCGCGGCGGTGTCACTACACGTTCTCTCTCGGTAGCAGGGTGATTTCAGATAAGATCGACCAAAGGATGGCTAGTCGACATTTTCAAATCAACTGATGTTTTTATATGTTATTGTCTAGTGTCTGGTATGAACGAATCCAAACTTAGTTTTGACTAGAAAAAATACTTGGGGACAGGAAAAATCGTAAGGCATGAGGTGGTGGACAGTTGCATTAACGCGCACTGATGGAGGGGGCCCGTTTGAGAGTGAATAACTAAAGCGATAACATTAGGAGAACTCTAATACGTTTTAGGCGCAAACTATGGGTATAGCTTGCTTGTAATATAAAGTAATCATATTTATTTAAAATTTACTTATTTTTCTAAAAATTGACAAACATGCCTGCTCGAACGACAAATGGCAAATTTTGGAGGTCTGTATCTCATGAAATAATTTAATCATTATGATATAATTTGCAGATATTATTCTACTAATATATAGCTAATATTTAGAAAATAACTAAGGTATCTGTGTGATACAATAGTTAGGATATATTTAGTCAAACATGGAAAACAAATCAAACAAAGAAAAATTCCGATGCGAATAAAAAAAAAAACACCACCCTCGATTTTTTTTAAATTTAGGTAACCTGTTATACTCTATTTCGGCATTCATTTCCATTAAAAACATGTTGCATCATTTTATTGAGAAAGAAGATACAACTCCCCAAAGTAGGGTCCTTTTTCAAAGCCTACACTTAGCAGTGTTTTATACAAGAACTGACTCTGAGTTCCAGTTTCATGAAACCAACACACATCTTTTATATAGTTTTATTCAGATGAGGCCAATAACTAAAGAAATCATTCACACACTTAAATTAAGGAGAAACTACTGTGTACAAAGAGGTATCATATTACGGACTAGTGATCCGAGAAAAGATCATGCAGCCATCGGCCACTAGGAACTTAGTTTACTTTATTCTCCTGCGACACTATACGCTATTCCCTCTTCCGCTCTACCTTCATCTTTCTCTCTCTCTCTCATATATATCCCTGATATATATCCAGAACAGAAACATGTTCAAGCATTCCCTTTCTGCGTGGTAGTGTTCTGTGGCTAGCAAAGATCATTTCCTCGCTAAGCTCACGATTATGGCAAAATAGTTGCCGGAAACCGCAGACGATCGACACTCGTCGCTAGTTCTGGCAAAACGGCCGATACAATCTTTTTTTCGCATTTCCCCGCTCGCTGTCAAGGACAAGGGGGTTCGCTTCAACCAGCAAAACATGGCCGCCGACGCCTGTTTACTGAGCAGTCATGCCTGTCGCCATCTCACTCGCTGGCGTCACGGGCGATAATATCAGGCACAAAGGGGCACACCAACCGGCAGCATTATCCCCAAATACTCGAGCCTCGCGTAAATACATAGAGTGTAAACGCTGTCGCCATGTTATCGTAGTAAGACCGCCCCCCCCCCCCTCCCCCAACGGGGGACTGCAGTACGCGACGGCGTACTAACACAACGGCGACGATATCGACATCGCGGGCTCCGAATTTTCCCATAGTTCTACTCCACGGGCATTTCTCGAAACGCTTGATATTGTGTACGCCCGCCTGGAAGGATTTCAGGCGCGTAGTTAAGATAAGGCGGTTCTCCGCGGCAAAAGAAAGCAATTTCACAAAAGCTTAAAAGCGGCGGCGACGCGTGTGCGGTGAACGCTTGTAGTTTTGGTGTAGACAGGGTGTGTGTGTTCTAGTTGTTGACACCAGCCGGCGATAAGGCACTGCAGGCGGTAGCTCAGTACAGCAAGGGCTAATCCGAGTGACCATCAACGTAACCCCACCGACAACCCCTCGCGAACCGGTCGCCGACATGGCTCAGGCTGTGTCATGAACCACGTGGTAGAAGCTCGGGTGCTTTCATATCAGCGCGTGGAGGGACGACAGTGCGATTCCGGAAAGTCTTTTTCGAAGGCCGCTGACCACAATTTTTTGTCTGGAGACTTTCCCTCTTTCTTCCTTTGACGTGGATCAAGCTTTGCCGACAGCCTCAGTTGACCTCTCTTTTCAAATGTACGTTTGCAGTGAGTGAGCTCCTCAGCCTCGGACTTGTCACTTGTGCACCCAGTAGTTCTTTCACTTGGCAATTATATGCCATCAGTTAAGGTTTCATTTCTATTATTTATGTATACATTATGAAGACGTCCTGGAGCTCCGAACGAGTGTTTTGTGCAGATTACTTTTGCAAACACAAAAAGACTATACCAAAGCAGCGGAATTTTCCAAGTGTTGGCGAGTTGGACCTAAACTCGTTGAAGCAAATTCTTCCGCCTGACTATTCCACCAATGTGAGTGCGACTGACTACCTGTGCTACCATTGCTTCATGCACATCACTAAGGAGATCTCGATGCGAAGCTCAGAGCAGTGCCCTGACATATTTGTGCCAGCTGAAGAAGCAATTGAAGATCTAAATCGCAGCATACTACCTACAGATGTGTCGCCGCTGAGACAACCAAGCGTCGTAAGAAGTCGGGACAGGCCTGCCTATGTCAAGAGAAAGCAGACAGAACTGGAGCAGGTTGCTGTCAAGAATATACGCTCAAGGCTACGTATTGCGTACGACAGGGACGCACCATCGGGGTCGTCCGAACCACATGCACTGAGTGGGTGGACAACTTTCGGCAGGCCTTTGAAACCGCCACCTCTCTCCGGGAACGTTGTCAACTGCTTACACTCCTGCCGTCAACACTGACGAAGAATGAGGTTCAAAAGATGATTCCACAGGCCTCAATGTACCTCATCAGTAAATCCCGAAAACTCAAGGAAAAGCATGGCGTGTGGTATGAGCCGGATCCTTACACGAGGTGCAAGGTGAGCCCTGAGAACCTGTCTGCTGCCCTAGAGTACTTCACGAAACACGAGCTACAATGTTCGCGCCAAAGTCCCAACCAGAAGGACGTCATCTCTGTCATGCTCAACGGAGAGAAAACGTTCGTGCCAAAGCGCTTCATGACACGCTCAATACGAGAGGCCTTCCGTATATACAAAGACAAGCATCCCGATTCCGGCGTTGGGCTAACGAAATTTTATTCGTTGCGCCCTGGATGGGTCCAATGTATTCCACACCGGGAAGTGTGCGTTTGTGTGCGCTGCGCCAATTATTATCTTTGTATTGCCGCTCTAGAGAACGTTACAGGCTCAACATTCAACACTGGTGAAATGAACTCGGCATTTCTGTGCTACCCAGCAACAGAACTGTGCCTTCAAGGAGACTGTGATCACTGCCCAAAAGGCCAGTTTCTTACACTCCAGGAACTTGATATCCCGGAGGATGAAGAGATTGTGCTTGCAACATGGGAGTCCGGCGACCTTGTGAAAAAAACTTTGGAACCTGAGACTTTCCTAAAAGTCATCCAAGTGACGGTTGGAAGTTGGGTACTTCACAACCATATCCGGCAAACGCAAGGTAAAGCGATCTACGATGAAAAACAGTGCATGCAACGCGGGAGCATTGTCTTTCATTTTGAGTTTGCTGAAAACTGGACCATCGTGCTTCCTGGCGAAGTGCAAGCATATCACTGGAAAAAAAAAAAACAAGTTTCGATATTTACATGTGTAGTGACGACAAGAAAATCTACAAACAGCTTTGCCATCATCAGTGAGGACCTGTGTCACGACGCCGCTCACGCTTGCTTGGCTCTAGAAAAAGTGAAGGAGTGGGTTGAAGACAACGTTGCGGTATACTCGTACGTGACGTACGTAAGGGACGCCGCCGCCAGTCATTTCAAGAATCGCTACCAGCTTCACCAATTTGCAAAGGACGATTGCCCACAAGCCCAGTGGTTATTTTCTGCATCTGGACATGGGAAAAATGCATGTGACGGAGTTGGCGGACTCGTGAAGCACCAGGCCACGCTGAACAACCTGAGAGAACGTTCAGTAAGCGCAATTCAGACGGCCAGGACAATGGTGAGCGTTCCATCAAAGAAACTGAAAGGCGTGCATCTTGTATATCTGGACGAAAATGAGGTTGTTCGGTATCGTGAACAAAAAAAAGGAGAGTGGCTGACGGTGCGCGCCTTCCCTGGCATTCAGTCTTGGCACGCGTGGCGGCTCAGCAAGTCATCAACAGAAGGGACCTGTGACGTATATGTAGCACGGACAGTCGGATCTGCTTGGAAGCAACTTTATTAAATGGGTACAGCGAGGAAAACCTTAGCGTAAAGTGCCGAATTTGATTTCCCATGGACTGCTCATTTTGAATGCAGGGACATCTTATTTATCACATTTTTCTTCACGGGGTATTTAACCTACTGTTTTTGTTGGTCCGGGCACGTACAGTGCTTGAAGTGAGAGAGCGCCTTGACTATAGCAAGACACTCACGTCTCATGGTGCGACACTTAAGCTGCGGTTTCGTGAAGGCTTTGTAGTACTACTCGGTGACTCGCTCGGGGCCCTCTTGTTCTTGTGATAGAATACCACCGACCGCACTGTTGCTTGTATCTGTATCCAGAATGTATAAGGCGTTATCTTTTTGGTAAGCCAGTGCAGGGGGCGATGTTAATGCCTGCTTGACTGCCTCAAAGGAGTCTTGACAATCGGTGAACCAACTGAACACATGCACTTCTCATTCAGAGCATAATGCGGTTTAGGGACTCGTGAAAAACCAGGAGCAAACCGACGGTAGTAAGTCGCCAAGCCAAGAAAGCCCAGAACGTCCGCACCTGATGTGGAGGTTGGCCAGTCGGTTATGGCACATAACTTCATTGGGTCAGGAGAAACTCAATTAGCTGAAATGATGTGCTGTAGGTACCGAGTTTCCTTCGGCATTAGGGCCCTTTGGCATTAGGGTCCTTTGGAATTAGGGCGCATTTTTTGGGAGTTCGCTTCAGGTTTCCGTCCTGAAGTTGCTGAAAAACCAGCTCAAGATTTGTCAAGTATTCAGTGAACGTCTTTCCAAGGAAAATGATATTGTCTAAATAAACATGGCTCGCGGACCAGGTCAGTCTCTGAAAAACCTTCTCCATCAGATGTTGGAAGTTTGCCGCCGCATTACAGAACCCGAATGGCATGACTGTGATGGGGTATAGTGCACATCCTGTGTTGAAGGCTGCTGATTCTTGGTAAGGTGAATGTACTGGCGCCTGCCAGTCGGCAATCTTCAGGTCGAGAATTAAGAACCAAGTGAAACACGCGAGTGCGTCCTAGATGTCATCTGTTCGTGGTAGCGGAAAGGCATGCATCCTTCTTTCTGACGCAATTCAGCTTTCTGTAGTCTACGCAAAATCGAGTCGATCCATCCCTTGTTTCTTACTAGGGTGATCGGCGAGGACCAGGGTTCATACGCTGGCTCAATGAAACCTTCAGTGATCATTTCTTGAACAAGGTCAATAGCTTGCGGTCGCTCAGCCACCGGCACCCTGCGAGGTGGCTGTCGAATGGGCGCAGCGTCACCGGTTATGATGCAGTGTGTGGTCAGATGTTTTTTGCCTAACTCGGTGGCGCTCACGTGGGTAATGATGAACTCAGCGCGTGAAGTCCGTCAGGTCATGCACAATGCCAGCTCACCTCGTACGTCCTCCTCGGCATCCCTTGACAACAGATAGTGCACTGGATGTATGTCTCAGGACAGACCCCTTCGTGGTCCCGTAGGTCCTTGGTCGGCAACATCGTGTCGCATGCTTTGCATTTGGTGTTCGGTGTTATGGGACACTCCACCCAGTGTCGCTGGAAAAATAATGAAAAATAAAGTTTATCTGCAAATGTCGACTCTATATTTTCTTCCTGTAGCTACAATGGCTCTTCAATGAGGGTATTGTGCTAGCCAGTTGAGTTTCCAAAACAGCTTGAAGTGAAGCTGAAGCACTTCAAGAAATGCGTGTGTGGAATGGAGTTCTATATCTTTCGTCCCGATAATATAGATATCGCACTAATTTTGCACACAAAAAAAAAAAAAAAACACAAAAAAAACTGCAGGGCATATGGCGAGCCACTTTGGTGGCGTTGATCTGTCCAAAGCGACGTAACGTCGTTCTCGACTTCCCCGAGTCAGCTTAATGGCGAGCAAAGGTCATCTGACCCTGGTGAGGACGCCACTTTCTAGAGTTTTCCCCTCTGCTCTCGGGCTCTCATGTGCGCGATGAGGCGTAATGGGAAGGGCTATGCTAAAATTTAAATTGGCGATTACGACACTCGTATAATTAAGATAAAAAGGAAACTTAATACAATTTTTAGGGTACCTACATTCCAAGATTTTAGTTTTATTCTTCGAATTCAATGACCTCTTTAGCTTCGCTTTAAAAGTAAACGAACGTGGACCTTGTTCGGGAAATGAGTGCATACCTTCATATTATTCAGAGGGCAGTATTTGGTGCATCCCAGCTTTTTGTTGGGGCAAAACACAGTCAGTTCTTGTGTTGACAGGACTAGCTCGGTTGCTTCGTTTAGCTGTTGAAAGAGCAAGAAGAGAAGGGATAAAGACTACGCAAAACAATCCGCTCTGTTTTTGTCACTTTTTCAGTCGATAGCTGGGTTGTCAAAACTGGAGTTAGATCATTTTTGTGCCGCGATTGCTTCATTCATGATAGCGATGTATGCAACTGCCCACGTACTGCGGATAGCGGATTCGTATAAGTCTTTTTTGTTAGCAGATCACGCTAATGTGTTTCGAATGTCGTAAAAAAGGTGTATTTAGCGTCTTATTCCGCTTATCAGCTATGGGCAGTATTTCAAATACAGTTAGTTTAAATATGTATTTAAAAAAAGTATTTCGTATTCAAATATACAGGATGTTCTTTTTTACCCTTGCAGATTTGTTTTAAAGAAATCCATGAAAGCTGCTCTTATGCGGTTTTTGCGAGTGAGTTATACGCCCAGGGGGACATTATGTGGGTGGCTAATCTTCGCGATAAGTCGGCTAATTATTTAAAATTTACTAATTAACTTTCTAATTATTGAAAATAGACATGGTTCCAATCAGAAACCTGCTGAGCGTCGTCCAATACCCCTAAATCAGTCATTTTCAGGAAGACTTTCAGCGCGTGAGAAGCGTAGTAGTGCACTAAAGTTATCACTCGTGGAGCAGGTACAAGGCTAGCGGTTTCGGTAAGGCGCCCGTGCAATTTTTCCGTCTCTTATCTAGCCCCAGCTTTGTACCTGCTCCACGAGTGGTAACTGCAGCGCACTACTGCGCTTCTCACGCGCTCAAAGTCTTTCTAAAAATTACTGATTTATGGGTTTTGGGACGACGCTGATCAAGTGTCTAATTGGAACCATATGTGTATTTCACTAATTAAAAAGGTAATTCTTGAATTTTAATTAATTAGCCGACTTATCGTGAAGATTAGCCACCCACATAATGTCCCCCTGGGCGTATAGCTCACTCGCACAAACCGCATAAGTGCAGCTTGCACGGCTTTTTTTAAAGAAATCTGTAAGAATAAAAAAAAAAAAAAAACACCCGGTATATTGGCTAATGCATTTGTAAATTTTATATAAATACTGAACATTGAGCATTTCATATACTGCAAATATACAATTTTGGGCACTGTTCTTTGAATCAATTGCGATGACTGCTTTGATTGACCAATTTATCCTTTTAGTCATCGTATTAAGGACATGCTCTCTGAAAGTTTTATGGCTTCAACTGAGCCATTCGGATGAAGCCTCGCACCGAATACATTGTTATCCTGACGTTGTACCCACCTATCTTATGACAAACAAAGTTTAGTGTTAGAGCTGGAACTTTGATTTAAGTGATTCGTGGCATATATCTATATATAGACTACCCTTTATTTGGGCTCCCTATTTTTCTTTTAACCTGGGATAAAATTTAAGTCTAAGACGTCAGTCTACGAGAAAGAAATATATTTGTAATAATATTCGAAGATGACCAAGTGCTTTCGTTGTATTTGTATCGGGTATATAACTACTTTTCTAAAACAAATGTAATCGGGCTTGTAACTTAATGCATATCTGTCGAAGTATTTTGTATTTGTATTTTGATTTATTTTTTTAATATTTTGCCTGTCTCTGCATCGAAGCTGGTTCCGAGGTGGAAGTGACACTCCAAAGCCTGAGTAATTTGCTGTTGGATGTTGCGATCCTGGCGTTTGGTGCTATAGAAGTCCTGATCAAAAAAAGAGTACAGGAAAACGCGAGTGTCGCTGTCGTCATGGCGTCCCAACTCCCGATTGCCGAAGCTTGAGTAGACCGTCAAGCTTTAGAGCAACCTGCAGCAAAACAGGCGTCTCCTACATCCACTACCGCTGATGTGATACCAGAGGCGCGGCAGGCGACAGCATTATACTTTAATGACGCCCCCAAGCAGCAATCGAGGGACCACTTTTTTTTCTTTCTTTGACGCGGTGAACACATTAGACAGGTTCTAAGCACAATATAACTAGGTTAGAAACTCACGTCCGATAGTTGAACATCGCTATTCTCATGCTTGCAGAAGATGCGCTTCCTTTGACTGTTGGCGTCGACGCACGCTCTGCAGAAGAAGTGACCGCGTTCATCCTTGTACATCTCCGCGGACAACATTCCGCAGGGGGCGCACATGTTCCAGTGCGGCAGCTCGTCAGAAAACTCGATTCTGATTGGACCACCGGGAAAGTCCCGGTACTCCACTTCTCTCGGCATGGCTTCCTTTGTTGTTCTTGGGAGCCTAAAGAAACATGTACATTGTATGTTAAATTCTTCGTTTATTGGCCTTGATCTGCATAGCAGCTTTCAAGAAATACGTTGAGATGCAGTACGCTTGCCGCGCCATGCGAACACACCAGGGAAGGAAGGAAGCAGCACCAGCCGACCTAGCTTGCAGTGGAAGTATCTAAAGAATTCTCCTACACTGCCAACATGGTTGTCTCTGAAGGTTTGGGCGCCTAACTTCGCAAGATAGAGGGCGCTAGACGCTTGCTGTCTTATGCGGAGCGCAAGGTCGTCTGCTTTCCGCAAGGGGTGGCGATAATGTCAGAACGCCGAGCTCTTATTGGCCGATTGAAAAAAAAAAAAATAGTGGGTAGACCTCAAGGCATCTACCATCGAGGTCTATCCGCTATCCTTTCAATCAAAGCCAATCATTGCTCGGCGTCGTTCTGACGTCATCGCAACCCCTGCGCAAGAAACAGACGACTTGCTCTCCGCATTCAAGACGTAAACAAAAATAAAAAATAAGTTGCGGCTTACCAGTTCTTTAACACATCTATGTATTCAAGTGATATCCGCCACAAATACCTCCCAACTCTTTGCCCGTAATCAAAACCACAGGATATGTGCTAACATGTTTAAAAATCGGAAAACTTGGTTAACGCTTGTCCCGAGGGCACTAATTTAATTATGTTGAATGATAACAGGAAGTACATAGTCGTAGACAAAATGTTCGGAGCAACGGGAGCGGTGACTGTTGGTTCATGTCGTGCTGTGCGTAAGTACCATGACGATGCATTCTTGACTGACGTCACTAAACTTTCCCGCCCGGTCTGTTCATCGCTGTATATAATCATTGTCAGTCTGGGTAGTGCTTCGGGGTTGTTGCATTGAGGCTGTAAGCAAGGTGCCTCTCAGATAAAGGGCTCTGCAATCGAAATCTGCATCCCGGGCTTCTGTTACAACTGCCGATTCCCTGGCCTGAAGCAGCCGCGCTCCGATAGTCGATAACAAGCCGCGTGGTGTCACTTGGAAAGCAGCCCCGCTAAAAAAAGGCGCCCCGCTGAATCGACGGAGGGAAGGTACGCGAATCTCGCCAGCTTTTACGCCGCCGCAGGACTGCTAACGACGCGGGACCAAGCGTTAAGTTACCGAGAATCGGAACGCGGCTGCCCGCACGCGAGAGAATCTGCATCCCTGCAAGCGTGGAGAGACGCGCTTGTGCCAAGCGCAGGTCTCGACAGTAGGTGCCGCGCCATCAGGAAGCGTAGCAAGGCAAATCGGCCGCCGCTCCCGTGATCCGGTCAATTTTGTTTCACGACTGTACTCTCAAACGCAAGAAACGCGGAAGATACACTTTCAAGAAAAAAGGGTGTATCATTACACCCTTTGTCCCACGTATAATACACCCCAAAACTTCAATTCGGCGTACAGCGCCAACAGTCGGACAGACGGCCCGAAATTTTACCAGGGGCTTGAGAGCCGTGTGATACAATTTATTAAAATAGCTAAGGTACGTGTTACTGACTAAAAAACAAAAACAAAAAAATAATAATCGGGGTTTTCTTGGCCCTACTGGAAAAACTCTGTGTTCTCTTTATGTGGTATTTGATACGTACTTTAGCTATTTAAAAAGTTACATCGCACCGTTATCAAGCCCCTCGTAAACTTTAGGGCCGTCTGTTCGACTGTAGGTCGCTGTACGTCGAAATGAAGTTTTGGGGTGTATTATATGGGACTAGGGGTGTAACGATACACCCTTTTACACCCTTTTTTCTTGAGAGTGTAGAGCAACAGCTTCTCACGCTCCTCGCACCACTCAACGCTTGTTGAGGCTTTCCCACAGTACAGTGCTCTACAAGAGGAAGCAGTGGTAAAAGCGAGGCCAATGTCAATGGGAGGTGCTGAGCCGAAAGAAGCGGACTGGCGCGTGTGGCGCTGCGATCGACAACTGGAAGAGAAAACGGCTGCATCGTTTCCTTCCTCCCGCGTTAGCAGCTATTGAGTGCTCTTGGCGGACGCCGCTTGTCTAAAAGAGTGGCTACGCTGATCACTCCAAAGGATTAACTGCTGAAGTGATGGCCCTTCATGTTGCCACTAGGCTGCGTTTCCTTGTTAAGTCCTTCAATCGTGCAAGAGCGCAGACTCATGAAGCGGCAAAATACCTGAAGCTCGATCAATTGATCCCCATGGCTTTTTTGCCCAGTTTTGTCATCAGAGTATCTGTTACTTTCAATATCTTCAATAAATTCTGCTTTTGTAATTGTGCTATGCCCTTTCGTGATGTGCAGCTGGTTGTATTATTTCCCTAAATGCTTCCATGGGAACATTTTGTTGCGTGTATGTGTGTGTGTATTTTGGTATTGTCATGGTGTTCGCCTGACGTATCGTTTTTTATCACTTTGTTCGGTGTTATAGGATGCATAAAGTCGGATGCAGCTGTACATATTTTCAAGCTAGGCTTTCTTGGTCATGGTGCACGCGGGATACAACTTCCGGGTTCAGTATAACTCTCATGTAGAATTGAGCCATTTTCTTGACCCGTTTCAAACTGAGATTGTCGGAACTTTTCGCCTTCATCCATTTGGTCGGGTTCTAAGCAGCATTATTTCTAAGTTGAAATAAATGTTATTTATAGTCAGGGTGGAAAATAATCAAGATATATTTATTCAAATAAATCAAACTTCTTATCTGAATCATACTTACGCGAATGAAACCCTTTGAGGTAGAAAGTATTGACTTTTTTATCACTAGATGTGTTTTTTTATATTTATTGGCTGCTTGATATAAATATGTCCTGCTTGATCCTTATTTACTTCAAATACAAATTAAATACCCATGGGAAGCACACTGAAAGGTAAAGGATAAATATAAAAATACAGTATTGTTTTGTGGAAAAGTGCTATTTATTTTCTTATAGCCAAATCGGTGCGACATTAATCTTTATAACCGAATTGGTGCGATTGAAATAATGATTTAAACCTATATTTCGATTATCTTGATTTTATTATCCACCCTGTGGTACAATTATATAAGAGCATGTAATGTAAAGCATTTTTTCTTGCTATGGAGAAACAAGGAAGGAAATGTTTTATTTGGAGTTACGGCTACAGATTAGTGGAATACCAAAAACTTAAGAACGCAAACGCTAAAATACTTCAGCATATATGAACAGTGAGCAGCTAAGGAAACCAGGCATAATTTGATTTTCTCTCCCCAACTTCTAAACCAGTCCGTCAGTAAAGAACATGACGTTAAAATAATTTTGGTGGACCAGTAGTTTTCATTCATTAGGCTGAAGTACACTCGAGAGGAATATCAACCGTGTTTCTCTCGCCGCAATAATAAACTACCCCTCACCAAACCCTCAATGTATACGTCGGAATGAAAAGCTAGCTGTTCAGATCAGATTTCATAACTGGGCGTATAAGCTTCAAATACGAAGGAATGTGAATAGCGCCTGCTTCTAGGAGCGGGCCATTTTTTCATTGAACATTTCCGGACGCTGCTCATAACTTATTTAACGCTCAGTTCTGAATCTTAGCACCTTATGCGAATCTCTATAACTAGATTCGAGTGGGGACTGAGCTGGCTGAGTATTCGCCTATAGTTTATTTTTGTTGTAGCGGCAGAAGCGTGTAGTGTTTCTTCAGGGTTGCCACTTGTGTCGTGTTGAACACAAAGAAACACATCGCATGCCTGTATGACACCTCCCAGGCATTCGAAGCGCTCTTTTCGTTCAGTTTGACAACTGCGGAGCAGATGAAATGGGGTGCTGTCGTAAAGATATCTAGATAGGGCCGCCAGCAAGTAACCGACGCACCATCTTGCCATCGCTACTGCTCGGGGAATCTACGCCAGCGCCACACAGCGCCATCCGCTAGAAGGCCTCAGGGAGGCCGCACCGCATTTGCCACTACACCCCTTCTAGAACACTGCAGCAGCAGCCTGTGGTGCGCTTCGAGAGGAGCGACGTAGCGCGGATTTGTTTCAGTTTACCGCAATATGTGGAGCTAACTGCCGGGACTTCGCCGTATTGACAATGCGGTGCCCGCATGTCGTATACCCCGTGATGGCACAATAAATTATCTTTTATCAGTCACACACTATGGTGTGAATTGTCATAACCAATATTCCACCAAGGTTGATCTAGCTCTGCTTAGTGTGTGTTTCTCGTCAGCTGTATGTGAAACAGGCTTGCCGCGTTGTCAACTTCGCAATAAGCACCGAATGTGGTCGAAGACTGAATCAAATATATGCTCATATTTTATTTTCCGAATCGGCCGGCAGTTTAGAGTGGGCACTGTGTTACTACTTTCAAAGCTCACCAGAGACGGCGCGAGAGCTTCCGCTGACCACCGTTGAGTGACGCGTCAAGAGCCAGAGGCTGTTGCTCCGTCGTTCACGTCAATTTCATTCGTGATTGTATATATTGTAGATACAGTGGTACGTTGTGCGTACGGACCAGCTACTAAAATGGAACCGGGTGAGATACACGAACTATAAAAATGTTGCAGTCAAGCTCCTTTGGTCCGGATGGTGACGACCGATGGTGGTGCTCGCCCGATTACAGCACTCGGGAAGTTGATAATAATAATAAAAAAAAAAAAAACTAAAAGTTGTTCGATACCGCTGAACACATTGCGACGTTGGTTGGCTTTACAGTGGCCAGTGTGGCCACGTTTATTATGAAACAAAACAACTCAACATTGAGTTAAAATCCCAAAATTAAACCCCGTACTTTTGTTCCCAGTCTCCCAAAATCGAATCACAGCCAATCCTCCAGAATCCTCTCGGGGATCCTTTTGTAGGCTCGTAGGGGCCTCCTTTCCTCTCAAGGGACCAAAAATCCCTTCGAATTTCACCCCTCCCACGTGGTACACTGTTCTTCAATGGTCGGCGAGCTGTCAGCCTGGCGCTCCAACCGCCACATCCAAATTCTTTCTAGAATCAACCCCTAGTTTTAGCTTTGATTCGTATCCACACTTTAACGGTAACAAAAGTCTAGCCATCATTCGCTTTTTGCAAGGGAATATTAGAATCTATATCAATTTACTAACCATACGAATAATAGATTTTATATTGGCATAGTGCCATTGGCAGAAAACTTCCTCGTTCGAGTACCATACAGACAATTTTTAAAGGGCGAGTGATCTTAGGTTGCGGCGTTCACTCTAGCTGAGGCAAACACAAAATCAAAGCAACTGCACTATCAAGGACACTATTAGCTATAACGCGGCAATCATGGTCGTTTCGAGCTCCCCGCGACCCATAGCTCTGAAACACCGCGTCTACGCCGCCTGCCCTGTGCGGCGGAATTACTGGTTGCGATCCCAGCCTCTCCTTGTCGCCTGCTAGGCACAAAGTAGACGCCGCCACAGCACTCGCCGATGTTTGCTTCACAAGGTTCTGTGGACGCCTCTTTTGGCACGGAGATTCCCTGACTCACGAAAACGATAGTAAAGTGGTTAGTTGGGCGAGTTGGTAATGATTGAACATGGTTAAAATTGCGCACAAATAGAAAGGTACAGAGAAGAGGGAAGAGACAAGCTTGTCTCTTCTCTCTTCCCTCTTCTCTGTACCTTTCTATTTGTGCGCAATTTTAACCATGTTCAATCACAAAAACGAGTCAGCCAAACATCCAACAAAGGGAACAAAGGGACATACCGAGCTAAGCATCATCGTTGCCGATGATTTTATACATATCTCGGTAGATAAGTAATAGGACAGACGCCCGTTCGTGACCTTTTTTTTGTGTCAGAATTGCTGTGCTAATTATGCTTAGCTTGGCACTTCCACGTCGTTGAATGTTTGGCCGACTCGTTTCTGTGAGTCAGGGAAGTTCCGTACTGAAAGAGGCATCCACGAAAGCCCCTGTGAAGCAAGCGTCGTCAAGTGCTGTGGTGGCGTCTGTAGTTTGCGCCTAGCAGACGAGAAGGAGTGTGATCGCAACCTGAAAGAGTAATTCTGCCGCACGGGGCACGACCTAGTGTAATCCTGACCTGTCCACAGAAGAATGTGCCGGCGCGCACCTTGTAGTGCACCTCGCGACACCGTTATGAACACGACATCGGCGCATTTTCGCGTTTTACTTCCAAATAGAATTAGCGAGCACGAAATGTTATCGCTTACATTATAGAGCTAAATGAGCTCGTTCCTTAAAAATAATAACTTGGTTTGAAAGAGACAAACTAGAAAAACCGGCGATCACTTTTTCGCGCTAACAGTGTCGCGCTCTGTACATGGCCTTGGCCGCAGCGTTCCGTCACGCTACGACTTCGCGGCACTGCATAAAGGCTTTCTTGTTCCTTAGGGTATCTGCATATCAATCGAAGGCCCTCAAGGTGCGGCGGCCTTATATGGTCCTGACCTGCTCTCCCTCGCGGGATCTCGTCAGTCAGAGACAGATTCGCCACAAGAGGCGCCGGCTGCCAGCACAGTGGTTATTTATGGGCGGTCCAAGAACGCTCCTGTTTTTTCGACGATGGAACAAGACCAGTCGGGGCTAAAAAACGCCTTTGCAATTCCGTGCCTGAGAAATGTGCTCATACGATCCAAGCACACATGAAAGCGATGAACCCAGCTGCGTGCAACTGTTACTTCAGCCTGCTGGCGCCACGCTACGGTAGACGTGTTCCCGAGAAACAGATATCACCAGCCGCGCGCCGTGCGGACCGTGCGTCAGAGAGGCAGTGAACCTTTTTTAGGTCGCAGAAAAGCCTTTACCGAACGTCCCCAATGGCAACGTAACGTACTTCACAGCGCCTTCTATAGGGATCCATTCTGTGGGCAGGTTACGAATACAGTAGGTCATGAGCCGGGCTAGGCGCAGTGTTTCAGAGTGCCCCTGTTATGTGGCGTTGGGGGTATGGAACGGCCATGGCTGCTGTGTTGTAGCAGAATGTCCGCGATTGTATGCAGTGGAAATTAAAAAAAAAAACCTAAAAAAACATAGTGTTACAAAATGTTTCTATATAGAGTTGAAGTAATTAAATATTCGTGTCTTTTCGTACTTTTAATGGAGACTTCCGAAATTAAAAGCATGGTCAATTAATCAATGTTGACATGATTCATTTTATATCGATTCAATCTGAACTGTTCAATACCTAACTTAGGATAAATGTAGACGCACCTATACATGCGATGGAGGCATTTGTTGAACTCAACGTTTTCTTTTTATTTATCGTATTCTAATCGTGGCCAGCACAGAGAGCTAAACAAAAATAGGCACCACATAAGAAAACAATTGTATAATGTGCACAGAAAAAAAAATCGAAATCATACAGAGCTAGGCTTAGCTAAACGGTAGCAAAATGGATGCGCAGAACAGGTAATATTTTTTTAATGCGACAAAACTAAAGGCACAGACACCAGGTTATACCTTTCGCGACACTTGCGTTTCGTTTGTGCCATCGTCTGGTTCATTTTCTGGGCATTTCTGTGAGACAAGATACTGTTGGAGCAGCTCGAGTCTGGTGCGCGCCACAAAGCGCATGTATTCCCGCAGATCTCAAACTGCTCCATCGGAAGTGCGTTTAAAAAAGGCGACCGCCATATATCCTTTCAATACAATCTAGCTTCCCCCCCCCCCCCCCCCCCCCGAAAAATAATCAAGCTCCTGCTTTCTGGTGCAACGTCCGCCGACAGATATAACAACAAGATGGGCGAGCCACCCACTCCGCCTACAATCATACACTCAGCAAGCATTTAAGCTCTCATGGCGATAAGTCTTACCGTAAGTGAAAGGGGCGGTCAAATCCGAGTTGGTTCAAGCGTTCCGAAATGCAGGCATGCAAACTTTCGTAAACTGCCGACCGCGGGTTCCTGCAAACTTCCGCTCAAGACTCGAAGAAACGTATTTCGCCGTTTCGAGTAAGAACGAACGACGTTCGGCGGCGAGCACGCTGATAAGAAGACGGCGGAGGGGCTGACTACTTCGCGATAGTCGCCAAGCAACCAGTCGAAAGTTGGCAGACGCTTCTGAGCTTCGGCGTTTTTGCCGCTTGGGGCGCGTCGGGGGATCCACTCAAGATGACGTCATGAGGAAGCCTTGTTCGTTTAGGTAGTATTGGCTGTGCACACTGCCGCTACAAAAAAAAATGATGGAAAAAAAGGATTTAGAGTCTTTTTTTATTTTTTTTTGACTTGAATGTTTCTTTATTTTTCCGCACCACAGAGCCGGGGGTTTCATTATAAACAATTACCACCAGCTTGCCTGCACACTCAATGTTTTTTTGTTTTTTTTTCTTTATTGTACATCTTTTTTTCCCTTGGAATGGGTCTTTTCTAAGAAAATTTCTTCGCATTGCGTGGAGCATTTCTCCAGTTCTCACGGAGCCGCGAGCGCTCGAATTATGATCGGTGTACGGAAGGGCCACTACACTACCCTTCCTTCCTCCACCCCAACTGGTATCTGTTTCCCTTTCTCGGGAAACGAGCGCTGTATGCAGCATCACTATACGCTCCGTGCGGGAGCTATAAAGGGCCCCTGGATGGATGGATGGATGAATACGGCTGAGCCCTTTGGATCGGGCGGTAGCTTACGCCACCTAGCCATTTTGTTTTACCATTAAAAACGCGCGTAGCGCCGCTAGCGGTGGAGCTGGCATTCGACAATAACCGCCGTATTCATAAACATTCCCCTACTCGACTCCAAACTCGACTCGACTCCACTCGAAGTGCCATTGGTATTCACAGACGCGAATCGGCACTCACTCGAACTCGAGATTCCGTTCTCCACTCCAACAAGCTTGAGGACGTCTGGGAGCGAGATTATAGCCAAAGGTTTTATTTAAAACACCATTTTCACGTGAAAAGTAAATATATTCGTTCGTGTTATCTAAAAACGTGTACCATACAAACATCGAATTAGTGAACTACGAAGTTTTATTAAGGCAGCGTAAAGTTTAGACGTGTTTGAGCGGCAAAACGGACAAAGTCGTTACCTTGTCTGGCAACAAGCGCATTCGCTAGCTGCGTCTTGTCGTTCTCTCGTCGACAGTCGTCTTATCTCACGGTTTGTCGATTTCGTCTCGTTTTTTCTTGCTTTCGCCGCCCTTTGTCTACCGTGCAGCCCTGCTTCGTCGCCTCGCCGCCTCGCCGCCTCGCCGCCTCGCACGACAAATCATGGAGGACCCCAACGGCAACGACTCGGAAATGGCCGATACCGAAGAGCGGGCAGGGGCTCGTTTTATTTATACTGCGGAGGAGGAGGCGCTCCTCCAAGCGCTCGGAACGAAACATGCGCGAGTTCTTGAAAACAAGAAGACAAATAACTACTCGAAGGAGGCTAAACTTAAAGCTTGGGAGAAACTCAGCACCGAGTATAACAGCCAGCAAAACGTCCGCCCACGAAGCGCTAAGCAACTCAAGAAGCGTTGGGAGAACGAAAAATCCAGATACAAAAAAACCAAGTCCGACGAGACGAGAGACATCCACGCCACGGGTAAGTCGACAATTTTAATATTTGGTAAACCGTTCCCGATGTGTAGAAAGTAAACATCGGAGAGAAGTCCTTTCGACCTGAACAATGCTATGTGCACGACGTCGTGCTCCTTTCCGGGTCTCGTATAAAACGAATTTTCAAAACGAGTTGTTCAACGCTGTAGCGTACCAAAGTTCGCTTCATACGCATGCAGCCGATCCAGGTTCGATCCAAAGTGGGCCTACTTGTTTGCTTTTTTCTTGACATATTTTTTTGTAGAACATTTGGCGTTATTGACGTTTTTTTTTTTTTTTTACAATCGTCACTGAAAACAAATGAGGTCCCCGCATCTTGCCGGAAGCCTATTCTAACAAAGTGCCCAGCATTCAATTGCCCATAAGAGGTTCCAGGTGGGCCTCCACTGGGTTGTGCTAGATTTTCTCTTCGTTAGGTTCGCTCTAGTCCCCTTAACAATTGTTTTTATCTCGCACGGAGGCGTTTCGAAAATTCAGTGTGCTCTTTGAATTGTTCGTCCCATACATTGTTCACTCTCTCCAATCTGAGCTTCAAATTCTTTGGTTTCTGTCACAGGAGGTGGGCCACGAACAAGCCGGCCGATGAGCCCCTCACTCATTCTTGTGGGAGCGGCGGCAGACCACATGGAGCTTGTGGGAGCGGCGGCAGACCACCGCCTAAACGCTCGGGTGGTTTTTTCTGCACTCGAAAAACTTGCCAAGTTGTGCAAAATGACGGACCCTTACCGCAAACCACCGGTTGGCTGCGTGAAGAAGCATCGCAGCCCATTTGTAGATTGCGCAGAAGGCGTCGTTTATGAGATCCCGCTGACGTGCGGTAAAAAGTACGTTGGACAGACGGGAAGATGTCTAAATGACAGATTGCGCGAGCACAACCTAAAAGTGAGCGGACAGCGTGACGGTCATTTGTCGAGGCACTGCCATGACTGTGGGTGCAAACCTGAATTTAATTTGTGCACTGTCATTAGAAAACATAGAAATAAGAGGGTAAGGGAAATTATAGAGGCAGACCTGATAAGAAACTACGGGGATCGATGTGTCAGCGTGGCGTCGATCGATTTGGCAGACAAAGAGATACAGTTCTTGCGATCAGTGGCGTGGCTTGGGATTGGTTGAATGGCGCGATGATGCAGAGTATTTATACCTTTGATTTTCTGACGATTAAACCAGTTGAAGTTAGCGCATTGTGTTGTCTCGTTCCTACCCTTCGTCCCTGTCGTGAAGCGCTATTATGTTCTCCAAGACACATGGAGACAGTGGTGACAAATCTCTGCGACAGCGACAGGGCAAGAGACCGGCCAGTGCTGTCGCTGCCTCCGGCTGCAATGTTTGAAGCAATGGTGCGAGGCACTGAAGGCAATGACAATCACGCCTGCTGGAACGACGTGCCAGGTAACTGGGTGCTTTTGGATTGGGACAAATTTGCACCAACATGTCGGGGATGGGTACTGTGAGCCGTAACATGTCTACTTGTATTTGCGACTTGTATCATTTTAACAGCAAATCTGGAACAGAAAAAAAGGCACCGAAGCCTTTTTCTTTTATTGCTCGGCAACGTCTACACTATTGTACATATCTTCGAAGTTCCAAAATTGAAAATGCGAGCAGTGGGTCGTGACATAGTACTGATAGTACTGTGAATTGAAACCAAAACTAGTGGTTAATAGACCTGTTGCAAAGCGTACAGCGCCACGACGGCACAGAATTTTGGGAAGACTCGGTACAGATCACGTGCCTTCTCGTTGCGCTTCCGCGACAGCGAGTGAGTCGTGGCAGCTGCCGCCAGCAGCAGTCGCAGCCATCCGCCATCCCGCCAAACCGTCGTTGGCGGCGTACCGTATCTGTGGCAGTGGGCGCGTTAAGTCGGCGCTCTTTTACTCCTCCTACTCCGAGTGCAGCAACTAAACGGCGCATAGCGTACAGGAGCGCGACACACCGAGGCTGCGTTCCAAACCTACTCGAATGGATACGAGTTACCCTGGCGGATCATGTCACGCGACATCAAAAATAGAGAAACGCTGGACGCGGGTAGGTTTTCGACAACCACCTTTACCCTAGAGTTAGATCGAGTAAGTTTTGGAACACGGGCTTTCCCGCAACACATAGTAAGATAGCGGTGGCGCAGCAGGCGTTTGCGACTTTTATTCAAGCGCATGCCCGCATAAAGCTTTATGCCTGTGGTGCCGGGAACGCCATCCAGATTCGGCGACATTCGGGCATGTGCAGTTTCGTGGCTCCGGGTTCGTTCCTCCGACGTTGCGTCAACCGCATGTGGCGATGGCAACAATCGTAAAGAAACGTACGTCGCTGACGTTTGCGACAGAGCTTGAAATCATCCGCCGCGTTGAAAAAGGAGAAAAGAAGTCCAGCATTGCCGAAGCGTACAACATACCGCGAAGCACTTTGAGCACGCTGCTGAAGACGAAAAATGACATCAAACCGAAGGCTGAACAAAGCAAGCACTCCAGCGCACGCCGTGTTCGGACACCGGCCTTCGAAAAGGTGGAAAGATCACTTCACAAGTGGTTTATGGACGCAAGGACTCGGAACATTCCGGCGTCAGGCCGATGCTTCAACAGAAAGCAAAGGACTTCGCGTTCATCCACCAAGCACAAAACGTCGCCGTAAGTAGCAGGTGGCTGCAACGCTTCAAAGCCTGTTACAACATTGTCGTGAAGACGGTCTCACTTTTACGCCGCTACTGCAGTGCAATCGACGGTAGTGATCTGGCGCTGGTGGACTGCTTGGAGACAGTGGAGCCGGCCGTAATAAGGCATGCGGTCAGCTCCATGCAGCAATCTACGCTGCGGCAGTTTTTTTCGTCGGAATAAATAGTTCACCTTAACGCTTCACGTGAATACTATACTTCGTTTCAACTTCCGTCCGAACGCAGCCAAAGCTACGTGTGGCCGGAGCCAATCACACGCCGGCAATTGGTCACGCGATCTCGCCTGCACTTGGTATCGCGCCGCTGGCCGTCCGCGCCGCCCGCGCTCGCCGAGTATTTTGTCTGCTACGGGTGTATCAACGAAATCGTCTGCTACAGGTTTAAAAAGTGACCTTTCACGTTCTGAAATTTAGTCGCAGGGGATGTCAGTACGTATGCTGGCCGCTGGCGTCTGTGTCCGAACTTTCCACCTGTTCGGCATTTCGGCATAGTTTCGAGATGTAAGTAGACATTCATGTCGTATTACACATGAGACTGCGGTGGAAGAAATCGGAAGAACTTTCAGTAGAAGGAACAGACACAGAGAACGTCTTGAGACGTTCTCTGTGTCTGTTCCTTCTACTGAAAGTTCTTCCGATTTCTTCCACCGCAGTCTCAGGTGTAATACGACATGATTAGCTACCACCAGCTCGCCTGCACTCTCACCGTCTTTTCACAAGTAGACATTGCAAGATGCCCGACGACCCGGCCGTTGATGTTTCCTTGTATTGTCTGGATATACCAGGGCTCGAGCCACAGTCCTTTCTACCAGCTTCTTGGCGTACAATGTGATCGG